CACACACACACACACACACACACACACACACACACACACACACACAAACACCTCATGTTCCAGGTACTAAACAGGTTATTGACGTTTCTCTGAATTTAGCATCCTGTCATCACTGTGCCCTTGTTTTAACTCCTGCCAACAAAGCTTACATCAGCACCCTGTAATATTTAGACAAGAATTTTACATTTCTCCCATCACGTCCTAATCAGTGGTGGTCAGATTTTCACTCAGCACAGACATTGGTTATAAATTTATCAGGTGATTTATTTGAATCCTTCGTTTTCATAGTTTCAGAAATATCAACTTAACTTAGCTTACCTTCTTTATTGTGGATTACTGCCAATCCCAATAACCCTGTTTGTTTAAATGTCTTGTAACTGCTTTTCAAACTCAGACAGTAAACACAGCTGGACATTTGACCGCTCCTAGAATTGAGAGAATTAGTAGAGCTGATTTGTTGGTTTTCACTTTTTTATTGTCTCATTTTGTAAGCAACACGTTTTCAAAAGGGGCAATGGTCAGGACTTTGAAAAAACATTAATGTTAGCCTGTTTTATCTGTTCAGAACCGTTTAGGTGTTGGAACATCCAGCTGAGGTGAAACTTAAGGATTTGGAGACTTTTTTCTTCAGCACTTCATCCACACTGTGTAAAGCACCAGATCCACAGCATGATGCTACCACCACCATGCTGTCTCCATCCCAGCAGTTTCCAGTTCATGTCAGGTTTCATCCGTAGTGGTTCTTGTAGTTCCTGATCATCCTAAATGGTTTCCTTTTCTTTTAAAGAAGGACTGATGAGTTTGGGTCAATGTAATGAGTGCTGTCTATAAAGATCCCTGATCAGAAGTTTTTAGGTTTTGACCATGTCAAGTTAAAAGACAATGTAAAACTTTCAGCACTGCTTATTCAAATTATTGGATAAATGTATATATTTAAACCTGTACTTCTGACCCTGTGCATGGTTTAGAAAAAACCTTGTGCACCCAGTTCTGTTTTATGATGAGTGTATATGAATATTGTTCTGTTCAAATGATGCCATTATCTGAAACACACATAGTATTTTAGTACCATATTAAATGATATGACAGGTGTTGTTAATCTGTAAATCTTGGTTCCCCCCCTCCCCACCCCACAAAGATTGTTCTCATTCTGCAAGACTGTGCAGCAATTCAGCATTTGCAAAAATCCCTATTATGATGTTAAAGGATAAAAACATAATAAAATGACTGAATATAAAGTTTGTGCAGTTTTTTAAAAGGGGACATGTTCATATATAAATATATATAAATATATAAAATGTAAGATGAGTGCATAAACTCTGGGTTAGGGTTGAATTAAGAGCCCATCTGGACACCAGGTGTGTTTGACATAAGAAAAAGAGAGTTTTTAAAACTGCTTTTATACGATGCATGTCCACTACAGTGACTGCACATGCAGAGGACAATGATCTGTCTGTGTTATGTGAGTGACTGCAAAGAAAATATCATTCTCCACGGGGATTTTTCACTAAAACATCTATATAACGATCCCCAGACTGAAAAGAATAGAAGATGTGTGCTCGAGTTGAGGCATTTAAGGATTTTGATCATGCAGTTCGCAAAAAGTAAACGCTTTATGTCAAAACTTAAAATTTAAAAAATGAATTTAATTAATTAATAACTTACTGCAAGCTAATTACATAAAGTTTGTTACCTTTTTTTAAAACCAGCCTCTTTATTCATACACTGATTGCAAAGTAAATTAAGGAACAAATGCAGGTATTTACCTTGAATACGGTTCTACGATCAATTAATCAGTAAATAATGTGTTGTGGAAGTATTCACCCAATTGGTATTTTGTTGCTTTACAACCCTCAATTTCAGTTTGTCCTTTTATTTTACTTTAATATTTTACATTTACAGTAAACGTAGTGTCTACAAAATATCCAAGAATAATGATCTCCTTTAAATGGACTTAATGGCCACTGAAAACCTTGAAGTTTCCTGCAGTGAAGGAATACAGACATTCATTAATCTTAAAGTCTAGTAGCTTATGTAACAATTAACTTTTTAATACATATATA